AGTGTATGCTTCAAAAAGGTGTAAGTGTAAGATTATATATATATATTTGAACAGCCCCTATACATGTAACAGAACTGACTGCCTTTTGTACACCCCACCCCTCAATGTTGATCAGTTGATTGTTATTGTTATGTGACTCGTTGAATGTTTGGATTTGAAGAATTTTTATTGTTACTTAAGGATTTGAATAAAGGATTTGTAATATTGCATGGTAGTAGTAACTTGTGTTTTATTATATTGGAATTTCTTGTGGACTGATGAGGCAGGAGGACAAGGAAGACAACATGTCGGCCCCGGCGGTCCTGTTACAGAGTTTTTTTGTTTTAGTAAGAGTTTTACGGCGCTCGCAACTGCATACGGTTATACTCATAATAGCGAACGAAAAAAAGTTGGTTCTATTTCTATTCGCAACAGTTGACTGCTCAGCCCGATTCTGGTCAACACCTCTACATTTGTACTAAAATAAAAAAAAATTTGTGTAAATAAATTTTTATTGAAGATCACTTTGTAAAATTTTAAATCTTGTAAATCACTTAAATCACAATTTTCCTTTGAGCCAATGGCCTTTATAAAATCAAGGATTCTGTTGGGATAAACGATGGAAAACAGGTCTTGCAATTTTTTTGTATCTCAGAAAAAAAATATTTCTTTCGGGTCTCCCCGAAGTCTACACATTCTGATGAGTCTATAATGGTTACAGTGTGCCGGGGACCACTGCACATTGAAAGCACAGTATAGAATATACACAGTCTGCAGCTCACAGTGGAAGATGAGAATAAAAGTTCCAAACTGAAATTTGCCGCTAAATTTTTTAGTCCATGGCATTCCTAACTCTACACTGTCAACAGTTTTTGCTATTTAAAAAAAAATCTGAGCAAAACTTGTCTAAACCAAAGAAAATCAGGTGTCCCGCAGATTTCGGTCTAAGTGGACGCCTCTAGTACATGTAGTACTCTTTCTAGATCGATCTAGAGACACTAATGTGATCTACATCATGGCTTTATCTTGCTGTATCATCAGACACTGTAGGCCTACCTCGCTGAAAGAGTCTGATGTTTTTGTCGTTTTGTCACGCTTTAAACTTTAAAAATTTAATTAATTTTTTTCACAAAATTATCTTAATTCTTTGCACTGGTCAAACATCTGCATACATAAATGTGTTGATCTCTCTCTTTCTTTTTTCGTCTATCCCCATCAAATTCCTCCGGCTATGGGTGTGTGCAGTGGCAGCAGGCTTGAATGGGCTGGAAACTTGACTGTAGTAGTTAGTTATAGTAGGCCTACCTGTAGTATGATGATGTAGTTATAGTCTAGTGTTAGCAGGAGCCCGCACGTGTAAGGTGGCCATGGGCTTTGCTTGTTTTATTACGTACATTACATCATATACATGTGTATATATATAAATATATATATATATATATATATATATACATACATGTATGTACCAAGGACTTTACTGTATAATAACCTCCTTGGTATTTTTATTTTTTTAGTAGAGGGTTTTACGGCGCTTGCAACTGCATAAGGTCATATGAGCGCCAAGAGGTGGGTGTCAACAGAGAAGTCCTTACATTGAATCAGACTTACTCTGCTCACCTCTCTAGCTTCGACTATCAAGTCACCCCGGAAATAGCGTGTCACAAGAGAGTGACAAGCATACAAAAGAAGTAGAGGAAATGACAATAGTAAGGATCATGAAAGAAAAAGCAGCAGTTCCCTGTTGTAGATCATGCACAGTTATGAGAGTGACAATTTTACTGTGCATGAACGAGAAATGTCCCCCCTTTGTGAATGACCTAGAGACACTAGTACTAGTCAGTGGCACTGCCCCGGAGGGAGGGGGGGGGGTGTCCTCCTTGGTATGTACCGAGTTCCACCACGGTGGTGCTACTGACTGAAGTTGTGTTAAGGCCATTCCCAAAGGGGCAGATTTATCAATGTCATGAAATATACTGTGCCAGAACAACATAGGGGGAACTGCTGCCTTTTCTTTCCTCATCCCTACTATCCTCTACTTTTTTTGTATGTTACGTCACGCTCCTGTGAACTGCTACATGTAAAATCTATTTCTAGGGTGCCTTGATAATGATGATAGTCGAAGCACACTTTGTGCTGTTGTTGAGGCTAGAGAGGTGAGCAGAGTAAGTCTGATTCCCCGTTTGGACTTCTCTGTTGACATCCACCCCTTGGCGCTTATATAACTTAATTTATGCGAGCGCCGCAGTACATTAAAACCTTGCTTAAACTTTAAAAATGTACCGAGTTCAGAGGTGAAGGTGAAGGTAGGATCCGGCACAACCCATGGTAATAGTGGTACATGTATCTCTGAGCAGTTTAACTTTTAGGGACAACAACACCCCCCCCCCCCCCCCCCCACACAGTGCCCACTGCTAGTTGAATCAGGCTACCCAGACTCGTCGTAATCGCGAGTTGAGGCTCAGCAATGTTGTCTCAAAATTATCAAATCTGTGTGCTTGAGATAAAAGCACTTTGTTACACACTTACACCAATATAATCCCGTTTGGCTCGATCCTTGTCAATTATGGCAGTCTCGCCTGTGAAATAACGTGTTGAAAGGGACCATTTTTTCCAACGGGTTGATCTATTTCTGGTTAACATTAACAAATAATCAAATAACATCTGAATGTAAACAACACCCCCTACCCAAAGAAGAAAAAAAAAGTCAGGAGACGGTCTCCTTCGATCATGTTTTTTTTCAAGTGTCCGGCATATTTGTTATGATGTAGACCTACTTTCATGTTTCCAATCGACACAATTTAGGTTATATTATTAAGAGGTGAGCTGCGACCCTGCCCGCCAGGGCCAACCTTGATTTGTAGTAGCCATTCAACATACCACTGTACCAGTAGAGGTATATCGGAAGTGAAAGACTACGGAAACCCTCAACAAAAATTCTCCCCTCTCAGAAATCAGTTTTTTTGTTTTAGTACAGTGACCGTTTTTACGGCACTTACAACACAATTGGATCAAACAAAAGTGCCCAAGATTAGAGGTGTTACAAAAAGTAACGAACACAAAATAAGGAGGAGACACAATGACGATAGATGTTTGGTAGGAAAGAGGGAGCACACGCCAAGTACCCATTAGGCTAGAGGTGTGGGCGTATTGAGAACATCCATCAAACAAACAAAAAACCCCCCAAAAAACAGGGAAAAAGGAAAGACAGGCAGAAACTACAGAAAACTAATATAAAGAGTGTCAGTGATACGTTGTAGGAAGAGTTTTCACGTTTTACAGCGCTTGCAACGCAATACACATAAAGAGAAGAGATATATATATAAGGAGGATCGATGTATGATGATAGGAAAAGGAAAGGACCAGTCACACCAGAGCACCCATCAACCAAAAAACTCAATCAAATAGATTTCAATATCACAGATGTGCATTTATTCAACTATCAAGTAGGCCTACATGCATTTCAATTTGAGCTCCCAGCACAATACATGTATCACTTTTTGCATTGTTATTGACACATAATGTGGCACCAATAAAGTGAAAGAAAATACTTGCAATTGTGTGTACACATAAAGCATAAAATGGATCTTGGAGCAAAATTAATTAAAGTAGTCGTACAACTCAATTGACACAAATTAACTTGAGAGAGGCAGGCCTGTTACTCAGTGTTAGGGCCATCTTGAGCGGGCTGAGGAGAGGGATACAGCAACCCAGCACTCAGTCAGACATACTTGCTCTAAGAATATTTTTAAAAAATACGTTTATGATTTAAAAAAAAAAAACCAACCCCACAAGGGAATCTAAATTCTAACTTGCGGCGTGCGATGGAAAAGCGCCTGTCCTGAAAAACACCACCTGCATATATATTAATATAATAATATAATATAATAATCAGAATCAGAATGTGTGGAGAAAAATCTGAATGTTCTAATCTAGAACAATGAAACCACGCACACAAAGGCAATCCATCAATGATAAAATCCACATGCTGACACCATCCTCACTTTACATTTGACATTCTGTGAAAATAAAACAATGTGTCTAAAGGTATCTGTCGCGTTGGACACAGAACAGCATTTCTCCCTAAAGGAGGTATTTATGTGTTAGGGACGTGTGTCCGAAGCCTAATCCAAATAGAGTCTATCATTTGTAGCCACGCAGAGTCAGAGAGCAAAAACGTGAAAAATAAAGGTTTCATAACAAAATAAAATCACAATTAGAAAAGCACACATAAATCAAATAACCACAGAAATTAACAAATAAGGGCGGGTGTCCACCTATACGAAGATTTGCCGTTTTAACCTTTACGAGTGTAATTTAAGAAAAAGTACAGGATATTACATGAAAATTACGAAATCACACACACAATTAATGACGGTTCGGTTTTGGTAGAGACACACTCCAATATACACATTTAATGTATATATTATATTTTTAAAAAGGTAGGAACAACATCAAATTAAATGATTTTACGCTATAATATAAACACACACACACAAAAGAACGAAAAACAACACACCAGAACAGTAACAGTAAAAAAACAAAAAAAAAAGAACAAAAATTAACTCATCAACAAACACAGCAAAGAGGGAAAAAATAAAAGAGAAACAGCAATATATAAATAGTAAACAAATTTATCATTGATGAAAATGAAAAGCTCCCTAGCCATTGAGACGCTGGTGAGAAAAACGCTTTGTGCCCCATTAAAACGGGCCTGCGTTGACAGAGAGTGTTCTCTTTGTGGGGTAGACAGACAGTGTTATGGAACAGGTCACGGGGAGGGTTGAAGGGAGTGAGAGGGAGGTGAAGTGGTCAAGGCCAGTCAGAACTGATCAACTTGCTAGATAAATGTTTGAGGGCCATCATAGGCAAGCATGTTGTTGTTGCCCATTGGCAAAAGGGCAAGTATGGTGCATTGAGGTGACCCAAAGTAATGCGTATGTACTGTGTGTAACGCACAAGAAAATACACGTCAGTTTGGTTTAGTTTAGTTTAATAAGAGTTTTACAGCACTCGCAACTGCATTTTTTTTTAAAGAGAAAAGAAAGAAAGAAAAATGATTACAACTCCTTTATGAACAGAGTGATCGGTTGATCAATAAGTAGAATGTTGTACACAAAAGATCCCAAAATTTTTTTTCAAGACTAGTGATGTACAAAGACAGGTTTTGGGATACATTCCCACGAATGTCCACAAGCTGTTCTCTGGTGCACTCATCAAGTGTCCATTGGGAAAAAGAACTGGCCGGACTGGAAAAGATGACGAGATTCGGTGTTATTCCTTGTGTATCCGAGCGACACCAGAAGTTTAACCAGTTGAGGGGCGTGGCCCGCAGCCATGAGCTGAAGGGCTGCTCAAAAGAGGAAATTGTGGCTAACTGCGAGAGTGTGGTCGGAGCCCGTCCGTTTACTCTCCGGCGGGGGTACACACCCTCAAAACAATCACAATCATACTCACTTTTGATCCGTTCCGCCCTCCAGCCACCGTTTTGGCATCATACTTGGTCCTGGACGTGCGACCCTATCCTATGTGCCAAACCCTCTGCGCTGCTCCCAGTCAGTTTGGCCATAGTCAGTCGCGATGCCGACTTTTCGACACGCAGTCGTGTGTCCTCGCTGCAGCAAGACCGGGCATCCTGAACTGGAGTTGCCACGGCCAGCATACAGCCTTCAGCAAGGAGAACCCGACTTGGCTCAGAGAATGTGCCATTCAGGAACACAAAAGCCCTGACACAGCAAGAGACATGACAGCCACACATATATATATATATACATGTTTAAAAAAAATTTTCATGAATGTATCATGATTTGAAATATACTGCAGCACTGCCTTTTTTTTTTATCGGCTGCTGTTGATCGGATATATATATATATGTGGGTGCTACGACGTTTACAGAGAGAACAAGATCCACACTATGGATAGATCTTTCGCATTGAGAACCAACTGTATATGAGACGGCTTGGGAATGAACAATGTAAATAATTTACCATCAAGCACATGCTAACAGGTAGGACATTCAAATACTTTTTTCTCTCACAAAATGTTGATGTTTCCATGTTCCATCGCCTTTTTATCGTAAACGTAATTTGAAATTTTTTACAAACTCTTTTTTTGTGTAAAGTGAAGCAAAATATACACCTACATCATGCAAAATTTATTCTAAAGAAACTCTCACTTTGTAAAATAAAAAAGGAAAGTGTAACAGGAACAAATGGCAAGTATAGGGAATGCATTTCTCGAGTTTTTTCAAGTATTCTGCTTGCGGCAGTGAAACTTTTAGCCGCTGCACCGCAGACACCAGTCCAGACTTGTAATTTCAAGACTTCCTAGAGGACATTGCTTCGGAACTCACCGGAGGAACAACAAGCAGCAGGGAAGCGCCGCAGACTTTCGGAGCTGGGTCCCGTGCTTCTTCTCACACCTTCCGGGCGCTTTACGGAAATAAAAGGAAGGCGAGCCATGTCTGCACGGCCAGGAATCCCGGAGAGCGTGTGGTTTTGATGTAATGCATACAATATGCCATGAACTGTCTCCTGCTCGTCTTACTTTAGCAGGGAAATCATGGATGGGAAGAACATACAAGAAAATTTACACAACATAAAAATGGATATAGTAGGAACTTGTTTAAGGAAATGTATGTATGTATAGTATAGGGTTTTACGGCGCTCGCAACTGCTAAGGTCATATGAGCGCGCGAAACACAAGTTGTTTACTTTCGCAAATGTTCGCAGCACGATTGG